TCTTGCTCGTGCGTTGCATGATGGTTAGTCATTTTGTCCGACTTGCTCTGGAGGCTCGCCTACATGAGACGTTGAAATCTCGCGGGACAAAGACGCCCGCAGCCTTGAGAGCGAGGCGGCGCAGTTCCTCTCCACGGGCTGCGGAAGCGAAATGCTTGATGGGAAACGACTCGCTGGTATCTCGAGCGGAGCGCTCATTGGTGGTTTTTTCCACGTGCTGGTGATGAAACTCTCCAATTGGCTGGGCAAAATGTTGTTGTTGTTTTGTGTCAGTTTTACATCGCCACTTCCATTCACATTTTTCATCATTGTTCCACAATATTTATCATCATTAAATTAATATCCATATATTTTATACTATACTTGCACTGCTTACCGTTTTCATACTTTATATATCTTAGCATATTCATACACACTGTTCATACTGCTCTCAGGCTGCTGTGTATATATAGTGTATTCATACCCCTCACTGTTTATGCATTCAATTCATTCTATATTTTATTCTGTAGATTGTGTACATTACTTTTCACTTTACTGCTTGTTGCACCACTAATAAGCTAAACTGCATTTCGTTGTCTCAGTACCTGTAATATGTGCAATAACAATAAAGTTGAATCTAATCTGGAGCAGGAACAAATGTATTTACTTAGTACATATCTGACATTAACGATTAAACACGTGTGCATTCTTTATAAATGCAAACCGAGTCAAGCCGACTCCGGAGGTGGCGGTATGCACCTTAAAGTTGTTTGCAATCCGCCAAAAAACCGAGAGAAGAAGAAGAAGAAGAAGACGAAGACGAAGCCGACTCCGAGCATGGACTCCGAGCTGTCCGACTTCAGGCGAGCTTTTTGAGACCTCCCCCGGCTGCGATCGGCTATTCTCGTCTACTTTCGAGGCGAGCCGCAACGCGTCTCAAACAAGCCTATTGCGTTCCTACGCCGGTTTCCCTTTTATAAATCACAATCGACTCGAAATGAGGTGCAGCTTTTGCGGGCTTCACGTAACGCCCATATTTGCCTATAAATAGTCAAAGAAACGCCCATTCATTCATTCATTTTGACTGACTGCATGAAGAAGATCGCAGGAAATGACGACAGAGCAGCTAAAAAAGACATCTCACACCGTGTCAGATTGTGGTTATTTTGGGGAGGTCGAGATAAATCATATTGTTTGGTGGATGCCGTTTGAACCAGAGTAGCAGCATGGAGGTCGGATCGTCACCAAAATAAATAAATAAGTGGTCCGAAAAAGGTTCATGACAAAACAAATACACATAGCCTTCCTCAGGCAGTGTGTTTGTACCGGGGACAGGAGACACCCCCTTGATGAGAGACTGTAATAAATGATCGGGGACTCCCTCCGGAGTGGAGTCATGACGACTGGATCTGAATTATGTTTTCGTATTTGGTGGTTTGTGTTCCAGCTGTCGATCAGCTGTGCGCAGCGTCTCCACTGCAGCCTGTGCATCTCACCCCCCTCCGCAGCAACTCTATATCCACCAGTTAAAGGAAATACAACTAATGTGTTGTTATATTAGCTGTACAATTTACCACATATGGTGTTCTTAGTTTCCATACCTCCTGTGTTTTATGAGCGACTTATCAAGTCTTAGCAAACGGCATAAAACATGATTAAATATATATAAAACCATGCTCGTACAACCTATAGAAATGCAAAACCGCATCATTTATGAGAAAACATTTCATAACATTAACACAACATATTCGAGGTGGTTTTAAATAACATATCCGTATTTATTTATTTCTCCAAGTTATGTTTTTGTGTGCACTGAGGAGTCTCAAACAGGCGTTTGTTTAATCATTTTAAGATTGGCTTTAATCAATGTTTGAAAATGAATTCTTCATATGATAAATGAGAGGTAACATTTTGTTTATGGTATTATTTCCACATATTTCTCTCCATTCTTCCTTCTGCCAACGGTGTCGCAGTTTCTCATCTCTCCCGTTGTTGTGCTTAGTGCGTACGCATGGGGTAGAGTTTGCGTGGAGGACCGCACGTTTTCCCATTGGTCAGACATTAAGGGGGTAAAAACGTCCGTTAAAAAACATAACACATAATGAGAGACGTTCTGCAGTAAGGAGGGGCGTTTCACCGACGATAGGTGTTCTTACTTTTATGTAGCTGACGGAGAATTTTTACTTTACACGACACTGTTCAACACTTAATTCTGCTTCACTCTTTAACTAAACAACCGCGGATGTCTTGAAAGACTCTTTCGCTAAAGATTTTTGAAGACATCCGCGTTCTTGTGACACGTAAATATACGCTTCCTCACCAGGAATGAACCGCTCCAGAGTTCGCAAGCAAGCGCTCCAAGACCACCTATTTTAGCGGACCAGAGTCCGGTTGTTTAGTTCACTTAAGAGGTCTCGGACTGTGTTCACACCGACCCAAATGAACCGCACCAAGTGGCTAAACGCACCAGGGTTCGATTCAACCGGACTATACAAGGCAGGTGTGAACGCACCCTGCTGTCTGGTGCATTCTCTAGACTGAATTATAAGATGAACCACCACAATATTATATTGTAAAATTTCAATTTTATTCTTAATTTCACTTGTTTGTTTGCATGAGTTCTTGTTTGTGTTTGCTCGCTTGCATGCCCTGCATAGCTATAAGAAATACTTAAGTTTCCATCTGATGAAGGCAAATGCCTTTCCAGATGTAAAAAAGTAGAAAACATTGTATTCAGTTATAACTGCCAAAACAAACACTATTATGGCCCCTGTTAAAAATGTTTGTAATCTACTGTTAGTCTGGGAGACCTCGAGTACACTGGCCGGCTTATTAAAAATTAAGAATTGGCAAGAGGTCGAAACCACCCTGAAATAACTGCTTTATACAATTATTAATTACAAACAAATTGCTCATTCAGGGTGGTCATGGAGTACTTGAATAATGACCTGCATGTGAAAATATTATTGCATTTCTGAGACTGCAGCTCAGTCTTTCTTTTCTTCTTTCCAGGTTGTTCACCTTGCTTTGGTGGACTAAGAAACATTGTAATACACTGACTTTTTAAATGATTTGATCATTAGGTATTGTGGTTGCATTCGATTCATTGTCCGGGTAGTATTCATTGTATAGAAATCGTATTGACCGGGCCAGCCCGAACATCGCAAAGTTGGTCGAACTAATGCCTCCTCAGTAATTTACACAGTGCCTGTAAACCGGAGGAGAACGCTGGCATTTCTCCTCCTACTTGAAAGACTACGGAGGGATAGGGTCTGCAAAATTAGTTTGTGTGTGTGTGTGTGTATATATATATATATATATATATATATGCTCTGACCGTTCCACATCTGCCTGCCCGACCTTATGTTACGGCTGCGCCGCGTCAAAAATAGGATTCATCCTAATTTTAGAGGAGCCCTGTGCCGAGGCGCTTCTGGGACGCTTCTGAGCCGCAACGTGCTGCGTGTGGTGGAATAGCACCCATTGACTAGAGTTGCCGCGATCTTTGCGAACGCCGCGGCACGGCCGTAACACGACGCAGACGGACCCGGTGGAATCTAGGGGTCAGATTTTATATTAAAAAAAGGGTTTTACAATATTACCTTTTAGTTTGTTTGACTACAATTAATTTGTGGGTTTGCATGCATTCCGGTTTTGTATTTGATTGTTTTGCACAATATAAACACACACAAATAACAGCTAAGAAATCAGAAACCGTGCAGGAAGAGGCAAAGAACCCAGTGGGCTTTGTTCGGCCCCTCCACCTCAAGAGTGTTAAAAAAACAAAAGATCAATATATGATCAATAGCTTGAATTCAATAATGATGGCAACCTTTTTTTAAATCACACATAAAACAAGTAGCCTATCATACAGTGGTTGAATAGTTTTTCAGGCATTTATCTAGGCTAAACCGAGTTCCAGTATTTTGTAAAGAATGAAAATCTATTCCAGATTTGTGTTCCCCTAAAAGCAGATGGAAAATGAATTTGAGTTAGACACTTCACACCCTGCTCCTCTCCATCAGCCTGAACAAACAAACGCTCATTAACAGGGCAGGGTTTCTTGTGCCTGGTGTAGGATTTCATTTTATTTTCAGCGCCAGTGTTGTTGTGCTGTATGTCAGTCGACCACCTGTAGACCATCTGCTTTGCAATGTTTGTTTGTTTGCTTCCTCTGACCTTCCTCATTTTTAGCAATTGTTTGGCCTTGGCAAAGTGTGTACTCTACCACCTCCTTTTGGATGGTGGCACGCTGCAGACCCACATGGGACCCCGCTGAGCTATAAACCAGCCTGTTGTCTTTTCTTGACACGCTCAAACCAGCTTGTTTGGTTCCTGCTGCAATACTTACCAAAGGCACACAAACAGGGTATCTAAGGTCGCGTTCACACCAGGCTTGTTTGGTACGGTTGAATGGAACCCTGGAGCGTTTAACTGCTTGATGCGGTTTGTTTGGGTTGGTGTGAAGGTAAAATAAGAGGATACAAAAAAAATTGTATTGACCTAAGCTTTAAGTTGCTGGAGAAGTTTGAAAGCTGAATTGTTTTGATTTGCACCGTATTTTCTTAATGCTACATTTAGTTGAAAAAGTGTAAATTAGGTTAATCACTGCCAGTCTAAAAGGTCCAATGTTCACTTATTTTTCACATTTTCAGTAAAGACTTTCTTCAAATGTTATTTGTTTACTGATTTATTGTTTGATATTGGCTCAGCAAGGGTGAATGGAAAGCTAGATCTACCTCTACGACAAAGGAAAATATAACAAAGCTAAATGTTTCACTTATTTCATCGACCTTCTGCAGAGTGCTGTCCAGAAACACACATTTTAGTTGTTTAAAGCACACTTGCATCATATTAATAAGGGATTGGAGCATCTGGTAAACCATTGTAACAGTATGTGCTTTGTAATTTACCTCAGCTTCAAGGTTCGGAAAAAGCTTGGAAAGTGCTTGAATTTCAGTTTTGAAAAGGTGTTGGATAATCAGTTTTTCCCTGCTTCTTCCCTTCTTTCTTCCACCCAGGTAGCATCCTGTCATGAAGTTCCTGGAGGTGGTCCAGCACTGGAGCTGACACTGTCAGTGAGCCCGACACGACACCAGAACCATCCGTACCAGACCCCCAACTTCCACTGCCCCCCTCTCGCTCCAGTCACTAAGACTGGCTGCTCCCCCCGTCCCAGACACTGTCTTGTTTTCACTTCCTCTCTGAATATCAAGGAGAGCCCTCGCCTGTCTCTTGGTCCCAGTACAGGTCAGGCCTCCTGTCTAGTCTGCAGACCTTTTCCCACCCTCCTGTGATAGCATTCCCCTCACTGGCAGCGGTCCACCCAGACCAGGATCCATCATCATGTCCAGCCGACGGAAGGCCTCCACCCCCCTGATGATCCGCCCAGAGCAGACCATGGTGGAGCTGGATGACGACACAGACGATGACATGGAGGTATACTTTAACTTTGCTTATAGGATCAACTAAATAAATTAAATTCATGTGTAATATTTTGAATATTTGATTCAGAGCTTGTTTTTATAAGCTTGGTATATTACTAATACAAACCTTTATATGCTATGTAGATATCACAAAGGTATGGATAACCTTAAATTTCTAGTAGTAATTGTATTATAACATTATGAGAAATGAATGATAAAATAATATAACAAATGTAAAAAAAAAAGAAAGCTATCCGGACCTGGGGGGACAGAGCTGCCCCCTCCCTCTGGAACTCACTCCCACAACCCATCAGAGACTGCACTGACCTCACCACCTTCAAAAAACTTACAAAAACTCACCTCTTCAATCTGGCTTTTAATGTGTGATTGTTGTTGTATTGCTTGATTTTAATGTGACTTTAACTATATTTATTTGTTGTTCTTTTATTTTATTTTTAATTTTTTTTTTCACTATCTCTGTAAAGCGACTTTGAGCACCTGTAAAAGCGCTTACAAAATACATCTATTATTATTACTAAACTACATATTTAATTAGGTATGGTTTGCAACTCAAAAGCTTACTTAAGGAAGAATTGTGGCTCTTAATTTTCAATGCAACTTAATGTGATGAAACTATATTAAATATACACCGAATAAAATTGTGGTTGCTGGGAAAGAAAACTGTTGAAAATATCAATAAAAAAAATGTATCAACTCTCTACATGAATGCATATTGGAAAGGGTTTTTGAGATGTTCATTACAAAAGAATCCATGAATTATATAAATACTTTTTCAAGAAAATCCATGACATGAATTGGGAAGTCTTTTTTTGTATATATCCATTACATCTGTAAACTGCCTTCTTTCCAGACAACAACGGAGAACCATTCTGAGGAGAGGCCTATGGAGACAGATCTCTCAGCAGAGACGGAGCCCTCTGTGGAATTAGACCTGACGGGCTCAGCCCCCGACCCTCCCCTGCCTCCAGACAAACCCCAAGCTGAGCCCCCCGACCTTTCCAAGCCTCAGCGCAGACAGCAGGGGGGCTACGAGTGTAAATACTGCCCCTTCTCCACACAGAACCTCAACACTTTCAAAGAACACGTGGACGTCAACCACCCCAACGTCATCCTCAACCCCCTGTACCTGTGCGCTGTTTGTAACTTTAACACAAAGAAGTTTGACACCCTGACGGAACACAACGAGAGGTGTCACCCGGGGGAGAGCAAATTTAAATTCAAACGCATCAAAATGAACAATCAGACAATCCTTGAACAGACAATAGAAGGTTTCAGCAACAGTGCAGTCATCTACAACACATTTTCTGGCAAAGGGGACGACCTCAGCGCTCTGCCGCTTGGCAAGCCCACCTCAGTGAAGATCGGTAAACCAAAAATGTCGTCGGATAATAAACGGACAGATCTGGCGAAGAAACCGATCACAGCGTTCGCCGTGAACGTCCCGCTCATCATCCCAGAGTCGACTCTGCTCAAAGCAGAAGGCCTTTCACACATCATGCCTTCCCTACAGCGGCCTCTCAGCTACTCTCAGGTAGGACAGGAAGCATCATTTCCTCTGACTTACCATCCCTTTATATTCTGAGGCAGCTTTTAATAGTAGAATGGTTTTTCGTCAAATCCACCTTTTTATTGTTTTGCTGGTAATGCTTTATTTTATGGGTCTCTTATTTCCTAATTATTTTCCTGACTACAATAAAGTAATTTAGTGCTAATTATAAAGAGAAATAAAACGGTGTTCAGTTTGTGCACCTCAATTTATTAATTCCACATTCTTTTATTCAGAACAAAGCAGGTCAGCCGAAAAAATCACAAGAGAAGCATAAAATCTAACAATTATAGAGAATAAATTAACCAAATTATTCGTTTTAAGAGGACATTTTAATTTGGTATGAAAACATTATTAGGAGATTACATTAGAGACTCAAATAAAAATGTTGGCATTGTTTTCTTTTTTTTATATGCACAATGCTACATTCTTTCATTCTTTGTGACCACAGTTCTTCTTTATTATTGTTTTTAATGTGAAAAAGCCATTTAGTCCCCATTGACCTTGTATTCTTTCAGGTTCCGAAGATCGCAGTGCCCCTCAACACAACCAAATACAACCCTTCGCTGGACGACAACCTGACGCTCATCTCTTCCTTCAACAAGTTCCCCTACCCCACGCAGGCGGAGCTCTCCTGGCTCACCGCCGCCTCCAAACATCCAGAGGAGCAAATCAAAGTCTGGTTCACTACACAGAGGCTCAAGCAGGGCATTAGCTGGTCTCCTGAGGAGGTAGGAATTAGAGAAATGATGAACATTAGAGGCAATTTAATTGTTAAGCCTCAAGTGAGGTTTATTGTATTTTACCAGTTATTTTTCAATCTCTGAAGCTTAATAAGGTATCATCTGGTCTACCAAATACTAACGTTTTCTAAAGCATTACAAACTGCTTGATTTAGGATAAGTTGAAAAGAATACAGGTTACTGCAGATAATGACTATAGCAGCCATAAATATGGATAAGATTATTAAATACAATTTATAACAAGTGCTTTCCCTTTATCTCAGGTGGAAGAATCCAGGAAGAAGATGTTCAACGGTACCATCTCCTCTTTGCCTCAGACCTTTACCGTGGTAGCTCCTCAGTTCAGCTCTAACATGTCTGCAGCCTCTAAAGCTATGCAGGCGGCAGCCTCCGTCCTGCAGTCTCTGCCCTGCCAGCTGCTGCGACAGACCAGCCTGGTGCTGACCCCTGTGGCCAACGGCTCCACGATCACCTGCGCTCCGCTGGCCCTCACCGTGGCTAACCAGGTACAAAACCCAGAAATGTTAATGTTTTGGAATAGTCAGAAGTTTCTGCTCAGAAGTTTCCTCAACATTAACGCTAGCTAAATGTATGTCTCGTGTTGATCCAAACTTTTTTTTGCAGTCATTCTATCATCTTATTAGATATGTTTGCACTATGCATAAAACCATTTGCTACCTCTGCATTCGTTGGTCGTGTATTTTTAATTTAATTATAATCAAGCAGTATAAATACTACTTAAATTGAAGGAAAATATCCATCAACCCTTAATCTGTGCAGTAAAGACCCTAAACATTATTTAGCAAAAAATGGACGCCCCATATTTATATATATTTTTCTTTAATAATGTATATTTGACCTATTGTAGCTTTTAAAACCGAAAAAATATATATTATTTGGTTATTTTAATCTTTTTTTTCTTTTCATTAATTGTATTTTTTTGTTAGATTGAATTTATCTATATGTACATGTAAGCGTTGATAGAATTGCTTTTATTTGATTATTAAAACTATACATGGGACAGGGCTGTGTAAGAGTAGAAACATGGGGGTTGTACCGCATCTATCCGACTATCTGTATTTTATTGCATTGACTTGAACACCTTCCTTTATAATTACCGCAGGTGGCACAGTCGCTCAAAAGACCCCTTTCCTCCCCTGGGATCACTACGGACAGTAAACGACCCTCCATCATTCAGACCATCTCCGTGCCCATGGCAACATCCAAGCTGGCGTCGCCCAAAGTTCTGAGCTTCACCGTGGACCCCAACAAAACAGCTGAGCAGCTCTCAGTGCTAAGGGCCAGCTACACACAGTGTCCTTTCCCTGAGGAAGATGAGGTAAGAATAAGTGAGTGAAAGGACATTTCTTGCAATGCGTTAGAAGATAAAAATATATTTGAGTGATTTTTGGTATTCATATTTTTGTAGCTGCTTTTAATTTCGAATTTAGTGCTTTTTCTTTTTCTAAAACACATCACTGTTAAACCCCCACACTTTATATTTCATTTTCTGTTGCTCATGTTAAAGATCTACAGGCTGATAGAGACCACCGGGCTGTCCAGAGGAGAGATAAAGAAGTGGTTCAGTGAACAGAGGCTCCTTAATCTCAAAGGTATGTGATATCATCAGTGTCACCAATCTGAAATGATAAAATACCCTGCCTGTATAAAAAAATCTGCCATCGTTCTTTTTGTCAGAAACAAGCTTATTTTGGTTCTCAGAGGAAGGGTTTTATTGTTAGAAACAAATGTACAGGAAAGCAAAGTTTCCTAATCGTGGTCAGTAGTCTGTTGATAATGTATTTTTAAGTGCCGTTTCATTTAGCTAAATAAATGACCCGTTTTGGCCCTTCCATATTTTGGTTCTTCAGTCTCTCTCTCTGTCTCTACAGGCATTCCTCCCCCTCCGGTGCTGGTGAAAGCAGAGGTGACCCCAGCACCTAAAGACGGTGCTGTGAAGAAGGCGGTGCCCAGCCACTTCCCCCTGCTGGAGAGGGTGAAGGGGAAGTCTTCAGAACAGCTGAAGGCGCTGGAGGAGAGCTTTCAGAGAAGTAGCACGCCGACAGAGGCGGAGCTAGGTAAAGACTCTCCACTGAACTCCTCACAAGGCAATGAGTTTAATCATATAACACAGTGTTGGGATGGAAAGAGTCAAGGAATTGGTGTAAGCTCAGTCTTACTTTGGTTTGTTGGATATTTAGTTTAGTTTATTTATTTATAGTGTCGTGGACAGTCCCCATCGATGAACTGTCACAAAAACAGTAAATGGAGCAGCTTTAGCCGACATGGCTAATTTCCAGCTGTTGTCCCCGGCCAGATGGTAATAGACACCCTTAAAATCATAATATATCTACAGCATTAATTGTAAAAAATATAAAATAAAAAGGATGAAAGACAAGTAGATACAGGCGTAAGGATAAGAGAGGATAAAAGAGAACAATAAACAACACACGTTACTATATACAGTACATGTCACATAGAGCACATAACAGAAACGAGGGGCAACATCCATGATCACAACATGTAACACTCACGCCATACTCAACACAGACTAGTGTGTGCAGGTATAGTTCTCAGTGAACCATGTTCACCAGCCCGGCTCCAATATATCACAAGAGTGGCAAGAAAGAGAGAAGCGATGGGATTTAAAACATATTATATTATTACTTTGAATAGCATATGGATTGGTTTAGGTGAGTTGGGTTGTTTTCAACTGCAGTGATCAAAACATTTCCAATAACAGAGCGTGGTAAAGTCCAAATTACTGAGAAAATAAATGTTATCTTTTCCAAAATTCACAACCTGTATTTACGTAAAACAATATAATGCTACAGCCAATATTTAATTTATTTAAGCATTTCAAAAACGAAATGTTCATCAAAACTGTTGCTCTGCGAGTATTAAGGAGGTGCACACCTGTATTAACCTTGGGGTCTAGCAGCGCCGTTAATTGTAATTACGTAACTGATTATTATTTTTCTTTATTTCCTGATTGTCCCGGCATTAGAATCAGACTTTGGGTTTGAGATGATAGCCTTCCTGCAAGTTAGTAGCTAATGAAGCCAGATATGTTTTCAAAATCCATTTAGAATGTACATTTCCTGAGAATAAATATAACGGAAGATTTAAAGAAGCTACTAAAAACTTCCTGTCTGTATAAATTGGGTGGAAACCAGGTAGTTAGAAAAGCAGTGGGTTGTGTTCTTGTAAAGTGTTGGACCCTCACTTCATAACTTGGAATTGAAAATTACTTTAAAAATGCCAGTAGTGTTTCTTCTATTCATACAAGTTCTTAGCATGTGACTTAATTTTCTTTAAGCTCAGAGGAGCTGCGGGGCTCTGGTGGGTTCCTGCAGACAGGAATAGCAGAAATGTTTTTAATGAGCCCATGTTTAAGTCCCCCTGAGAGAGAATGAATTCCCAGGTTTCTGAGGTAGCCTTCCACTCGGTGTGACATCTGATCCTCTGAACTCTGTGCTGTTGTAGCCCTGCTGGCCCAGGAGACCCGGCTGTCCCACACGGAGGTGGACTGCTGGTTCTCAGAGCGCCGGGCGCTGAGGGACAACATGGAGAAGGCTCTACTCTCCATGTCTGCCAAGAGCACGGAGGAGCGGCCGGCTGCGCTGCTGAACGGGGCGTCGCACGGCTGGAAGCCTCCTCGCTCCTCCCCCCATCCACCTGTCCTCTCCCCTTCCTCCTCCTCCTCCTCCTCATCGTCGTCCTCCTCCCCTCCTGTACTCGCAGCCTCCTCCCCTCAGCCACCCACCCTCTCCTCATCAGCATCCCCTCCCATCCTCACTTCATCTTCCTCCTCCTCTTCTCCCCATCCCCCAATCCTGTCTGCCTCCACCAGCCCGGCTCCAATAACCAGCTTCTCCCTCGGCCTATTAAGAGAGGTGAGAACAGCAGACGCAGACATGTCTACATCAGCACTTATTAGAAGAAAATGTATTAATATCTGACACAAATTAAAACTTTGAAAGGACCATGAAAAATCAAAAATACATATTTGTTCCCGTTTAGATGTATTGCTATGTATCAACAAAGTACACCTGCCTTCCATTGAGCAGGAGCCCTTTTAAAATGGGTTCCTTCATAAAACTGCTCACAACAAGGTCTGCAGATTATCTTTAATACTCAGGTCATGATTTATGGAAAGAGATATTGTTGTTGAGTTTTTCAAATGTATTTCTTGGACGCCTTGACAACCACAAGCAGCTCCTTCTGGATCCATTATACTGAGAAAAGGCAGACATTTCCACGGCTGATTTCTCAAAAACTCTGCAATTCACCCAACAACAATCTACATCTACAGAGGGCCCTTCAGGAAAAAGGGAAATGTGCCTTTTAGATCTTGGGATGAAGTGTGTTTTTATGAGCTTGAATCCTTTACGAGTGCAGATGGGCTGCTAATGGTATCAGTACATTAATGAGTTGTCACTTTTAAAGAGATAAATTAACAGGACATGGCACTTTTTGTGCGTGAGAAGATGTGTAAAAGTAATTAAACCTGAGAACGTATAGTGCTGGTGCCTGAGAACAATCTGTGTGATTGACAGTGTTATGACCTGGCTCAAAAGGCCACAACAAAAAGGAGACACACCATATCCACGTTTAACAAAATATGTTTATTTAAGCAAAACATTCAAATCAACCAAATTAATTCAGTGGTATCAGTAGTGTAAATGCAGGGTGAGGATTGTATGGACATGTGTGAGAGTGTTGAAGTGCACAAAGTGAAGCAACTGAAGAAACTCATAGCATACTCAACAAAACCGGGGTGCCTGCAGGGAGAAGCAGAGGGAAGACAGAGAGGAGCAGAGGCTTTAAATAACTGCAGGGCATCAGACCCAGGTGCCCTGCAGTTACTGCAATCAAGGAGGCTGGATGCAGCACAGCCACACCCTCTCCAGATGAACCCACAGGGGCATCACAACAGTAAATGATGAGATGTGCTGGTACTTGGATGTGAGAAGTGAGATATCACAGTAGCGTGATGACAAGGTCATATTTGACAAACTCAGGAAAAGGAGCTGAATAGTGTTGTGGTTATAGAAGTGCAGTATCCCATAGGATTACAAAACCTATACATGGAACGTATATCCATGAGAAGTCTCTTGAAGAAGCAGCACTTGTTTTATGCTCTGAAACACAGACTGCCTCTGCAATGTGTTAATACATACATGCATTTCTACAACTGGTAGAATATGAAGTACTTTGTAATACATATTAATGCATTATTTCTCCTACCACCAGGTGATTTTAAATAAGATTCTAAAGAAATGCAATAAATCTTCTGATGATCCTGAATTTCTGTATTCCCTTTCTCGCTGTTCATCCAGCAGATATTGAGATATCTGTATTCCCAATAGCTTGTATTAACACATTGACTTTGTTAAACAGTTAAAGGAATATATTCCATGACGAATTGAATAATATTCTGAATACAGTAATCAGAATCTGCCAATATATATTAGGCTATGTATCTGCTGATTGCAGCTAAGTGAGGGTGGGGCAGATATTTTAATATATTTCTAATATCTCTCTAATACATTTCGCTTGTGTTATTTTTCAACGTTTAAAAAACAGGTAACATTAAGGAACATTCAGGGGTCTCCCTGATATTTTCTGTGTCGTTAAAGGTGCTTTGCGTAAAGAGGCCCTATTACGCTTTTTAAGGTTTTCTCTTACCTGTAGTTTGTTATTTAGGTTTGAGTGCTGCAGCACAGGCAGAATGAGAAGCACACAATACAAATATGAACCTGAAAATGAGCATGACATTTCCTTTTAAAAACAATTGATGAGATAATGTGTCTCCGCAGGTGTTCTGTCGGACCCAGTGGCCGTCTCCTGAGCAGTACAGCCAGCTGGAGGTCCAAATGAGCCTCGGACGCACCGACATCGTCCGTTGGTTCAAGGACCATCGATCTGCGTTGAAGAACGGTGAAACTCTGGAATGGATGGAAAGTTTCCAGAACCAAAAGCTGGCAGAGACGCAGGAATCAGCCCAGGAACAGAACGGCCAGAGTTCTGAGAAGAGGGATTCCTTGGAAGTCAAGGCTGTGAAAGGTGAGTGTTTGGCTGAGGGTAGAATAATTGTTTATTTTGCGTGCAGTGTTTTATACCCATGTTTCACTTTGTGTTTTTCGGGTGTGCATATTTTCTCTTCTACAACAGTCGGTGCAGTGGAGGAGGCCTGTGAGAGCGCAGCTGCTGCACCGGAGCACTCCAAGCTGTCCGACCAAGATAAAGTGCAGTGGTTGACGGACAGATTAGCCCACAGTGTGACGGACCTGAGCCGGACCAGACCGGACCAGACCAGCTCCAGCCCTGCTGACAATGGAAGGTGGGTAGAGAGAGGGAAAGCCATCGCTTACCCTACACTTCTTTTTCTAGTGTAATGTTATACAGACAAAAAAATATCAGCTCACTGCCAATTTTAGATTTTTTCTTTTTTAAATGGATATCACAGGAGTTACTTTTTTTTTGTGTGAAAACAGTCTATCAATACAGCACCATATGGGTAAGTTATGGATACACTCTTAGCATGTGTTATTTGTTGCATCAACTTAATATTTAAGTATGGTGTATACAGCCTTCACAGAAGCATTTAATGTGTTTATAAAAGTCTTTCTGGTTGTGTTTAAACTTTGCGTCTGTTCCCTTGTCAGGTGGGTAAAGGTGACCGTGGCAGTGGGGGAGGAGAGCGATGCAGCAGTGGAGAGACCGATGCTGGCAACAGACACTGAAGTCCTGAGCATGGAGCAGCCTGGGAGGGTCACTGGTTGAGAGTAGGTTGAAAAAAAGCAAATATTTGATTTGGTGAAACATTTCTAAAAGCACCAGGCGTTAATATTGCTTTGGATGGATTTTGCTTTTGTGTGTCTTGGCTTGAGAAAATTGAAAAATAAATGGTGAACTGTTCCTTTAAAATGCCACAGCTGCAGCCTCCAGCTACCCAGGAAGTTATTAGGTGGTAATTACCTCCGATTGGCCCTTCAAAAAAGATGGCATGCTGGGATGGCAGGATGATATTTGGACCCACACCATCATTAGCATTAAACATTTAGACACACACACACACACACACACACACACACACACACACACACACACAGTGCCAAAACGAGTATTTGAAAATGCAAATGCTAATTGGCTAATCTCATTTTTATTTCTACTCGAATAATGCATCCACATGGAAAACTATAATGCATTTGAGGAATATGGAAAAACATTTCAAGTTTTCATTATGATTTTAAAAGCCTCTTCTGGTGATTTCATACAAAACCAATATTTAGCCATTTCGGTTTTTTTATGAATTTCACAGCGACCATCCCACGCATTTGTTTAAATTTCAAATTTGTAACTAAAATGTATTTGATTTGATAATAGGTAGCAGTACAGTGATATTTACTCAGCCCATGTATTGATTCCAGTCTGGTTCTATTCCAGGTCCAGTCCAATCGAGTGTGGAAGGAACCAGTGATGTCTGCCTGTGATGTCATCACAAAGCGCCTGGGACTTTGTAGTTCCACTGTTAAAGCACTGACAGATGTGTGGGCAGATGCTGACATTAAGAGGAGTGCCAAAGCTGGACTTGATGCATTGTTCTTACTACTACACTTTTTCTTTTTTTTAAAGAAGGACCCTTGTAAATATTTTTCTGTATTACAAAAACAGTTTGTACAGTTTTACTGGGAGGGCAAGTTTTGTTAAATTTTTAAAAGAAAAATTCAAAGACTGGTTCCCCCAAACCTTTTTGTTGTTGTTTTAAGATCAAAGTGTATGATAGTGTGTTATTTGCTGAAAATCAGTCCTATTTTTTGAAAATCATGCACCTGCGGACTACTCACTGAGTAGTGTTTGATGGCACTTGCATATATCCCTGTGTTAGTGATAGATATTTACATGCTATGCCTCTTCATCTCAAACTGTTGGGAGACATTTCCGCTTCTCCTGCAGCGTCACCCTGACTCGCTCATAGAATTACGCTGACTAGGTGAAAATCAGTCAGACGTGCTCGAGGGACGCTAGGAGTCCTCGAGTTTCGGGCAATCGTAACACGATACAGAAATGATAAATCACATTGAGTGTCTGTGTTATCGCACCATGCTGCCTTTTTCTGCTCTTATCTGACATTTGCTTTCTGCCTCAGAGAGAACTGGTGAAGATTATTTCAGCTTATCACTTCTTTTTTCTATAAAAACTTGAAATATTCTTGAATGAAAGTCTTAAGCGCATGATAAAGCAACTTAAGCTCCAGTGATCTGTGAACACCCCTTGGCTTTTGCGGCTTTAGAACAGCCCTTGTGTTCAAATATGGATTGGGTTAAGTTGATTTCTGTACAGTCGCTTCAGAACACCTGACATGGTGGTTCATGAATCTCCACATTAACAAAGAGAAATGATCTGTGCTGTTCTCAAGAAAACATGCATTGGAATATCACAACTGGTATGAGCTTCTTGCACGTGCTTCAACAATTTTCATTTTTAACAATTCATTTTCAGAAATGATTTAAAAGGGATATCTGTGATTATTGGGTCAAATTGCAAGCGCTTGCAATATGTGCAGCAAAAAAAGTTGAACTGTCATTTGAACCTGGTTTGAACAGCAGGTGTATGGCTGTGCTGGCTGAATGTCTGCTGCTGTTTCTGAGATACTGTACATCTTATTGGCTAATGGGAACTGCTTGCATTTTTCATTTTCTACTTTAAGTCTGCTGTAACTCAATAAATACACAACCGACTACAAAACCGCCTTTGTGTTCCGGCTTAACTTGATTGCATCAAAAACGTTGGATTTGAACAAGGTACAGGAAAACTGACCGAAATTGCATCTTTTTTTTTTTTACAAAATTATCTTTGTGCAATTAAAGTTATACAGAAACCCTGAGAAAGTATAGATTTGGCATCTCTTCAAGAATGGCTTGTCACCGATATCTGGGTTTGTGCCAAGGTATTTTTGCATCTTCAAATCCTGATTTGTTTTTAATCAAATGCCTGAGCAGCTTTGTTTATTTCATCCAAGATAACACCCTTCTCTACCTAGGATTGTTGAGGCCTTTCCATGTATCTTCTGGGCATTATTCTAGCTTTATGTGCACTTGGTTTGAATGCAAATCAACACATTCAACCAATGGAGCTAATTTGCATCACCACATTAGCATAATGTCCAATAAAGCTATATTTAGTATTTCAAGCTGGAACTATTAGTCAATAGAGTATACAATGAGTTGATTAATCACCTAGTTTGATTATAGATTCAAGCAGTTTAAATGTGAGTTCCTTTTATGTTTTATGGTTGTTGAATTGGACAAAACAGTCTTTTTGGCCATTTTCTGACATTAATAGAACAATATTTGATAATGATTAATATATTGTACATGAAGGCAAAGTGATTTTCGACCAGCAGAACTGGCACATACCTGAAAATCCCAGTGTTGCATTCAGGGAACATGGATATTATGATAATCAAACTCAGACTCGATTGTCATTTCAATAAACAACTGTTATATTTACAAAAAAATCCCATCTTCACCGTATTTTGGTTGAGATCAAATCTTAAGACAGAGGCTTAAAAAAACCTTTTACACCCGTGAACAATCAGACCTAGAAACAGTGCTCTCTAAATAGCTCTGCCCATGTTCAGCTGAGAGCAGCCTCGCAGTGCGTTGGTAATTACAATGTAATCTGATACTGCATCACGGAGGGAAGGAGGGAGGGAGGGAAGGAGAGAGGGTGAGGAACACAAAATCAACAGCGTGCTGGAGTACAGCTGCAACATCTCCAATGTCAGGGTGGAAGGAGGAGGACAGACAGAAAAGGGGGAGTGGAGATCAAGAATCATCACATTAAAAAAACGATTTATTCATATTGCCTTCTATCTGCTTCACATGGACACATCCTCAGTAAGAGTAGAGCTGGCTGTTTGTGGTGAATTGGGCTTAAGGCCACAGTCTGAGTCCTGCCGTCTTGGGTATAAAGTGTGTGCCTTTTCAAATTCCCTCAAAACTAAACATGAATGTAAATGAATGAATTTTAAGTCAAGGTTTTCCCTCAAGCGGCAGAATGAGAAAAAGCACTTTAACCCCATAGCTTTGTTACTGGGAGTAAAAAGGGGTAAGGATGGTCTCTCATTCCCCCCCCAGGCGGAAGCCTTCGCCCCAGTTGTAACGTCCTCTTAATACTCCTCCTCCTCCCCCGCCGCCTCCTCCTCCTCCTCCCCCCTGTGGCTCCTGGACAGCTGGTCTGCTGGGGGGGACTCCGAAGCCCGACACGCCTCCCCTCCTGGTGGGGAAGTACCGATACCTGGGGAGAGGAGGAGAGACGTTGTAACGTTTCAAATCGAGGAAGCGGGTAATCTCACACAGTTCTGTTTGTTATGTGTAGTGTTACAGTGCAGGGGGGGGGCTGACCTACGTTTCTCCATCTAATGAAATCACTTCTTACATTTATTTTCAAAGCACAGATGGTTCAAGTTGACTTTTATATATATGTTTTATAATAGTGCTTGAGGTAATACAGAACAGCTCTAAAAATATTTAACCCTGTAAAAAAAGTTCTGTTATCCGTGTATGATCATCTTTGAATCCAGCCTATGTGTCTTGTGGCCACAAATAGTAATGTTAGTAATGTTAGTAATGTTAGTAATGGGGTAAACGGTAAAAGAGTGTCATTATGGTGTTATCAGAGGAAAGATATACTCCCTGTAACGCATTGAAATCTATCTTGCATTTTTCCATCTATCTTACATTGGTAACGATTAGCTACTCGTCATAACAGACCAAGTAAGGCTTTAGCAGCAGAGTTGAAATACGTAAAGGTGTGTTTACTTGTGTATTCAAACTTTCATGTCATTTAATGTTATTTGTTCATTCAACAGTTGCAAAACACTTACAAGAATTGAGGTGTGGAGAGCAGGGCGCGTCCCCCCAGGTCCATGGGGTATTTGAACATGAGGAAGAAGTACAGGTGACCCACCAGGTTCCCTGTCAGTTCATTTACGAACCTGCACAATACAGGAAAAGTTTAGCAAACCTCAGAAATAACATTCAGTTAAAACATGTCTAATGTGGCTTAACAGGCTATTCCCTACTTTGGACAACAGGAACATTCTGTATTCATTAAAAGACAATACATTTATGTTTGTACTACAGTACAGATTACTAATTTTTTAAATGTTACTTACGAGCCTCCGATAATGAAGTTGAAGGCCAGGATGACCCATGGTAGATAATGTGCCTACAGGAAATATAATGTATATGATTATTAGAATAAGCCTCACATTCAGGTAGTAAATATTGTGCTGAATAATGCTGACAGTCCAAACCACAAAAGGCCGTTACGCACCTTGAACCGTGTTCCGAACCAGAAGGACACGATGGTGTCTTTGTTGAACTGAGCCCAGACGTAGAGCACTGACATGATCAGGGGGATCATCAGCAGCTGGAAACATAAACAAACAATATGTTAATACAAACAGCATCAACAACACAGCTGTGTAATCAAAAACGTTATGGGTGGTTTATGAAAAGTGGCATTGAAAATGAAGGGCTTATTGTGAGAAGCCTGACAACCTAATTAATGCGTTTCATAATGCTTACACTAATATGATCAGATAAACTCTTTGTAAAGTAAAAATGACATCTACGATGCATTATGACTTCTAACATTTGCGAGAGGTGTTTCTTAGCTTACTTTTATTGCAATGCATTTAAAAAGAGCAAATGTTGGCAGGAATACTGTGCGTTTACTTAAAATAAATTGGATTGATTTGATGTGTGCAATAAGTGAAGCTCATGTTAATGTGTTACTTTGTGGTGCAACCTAAACTTTAAGTTTTAGTTAAACCTTCAGTTTAACTGTCCCTCTTTATTATGTGAGACTCAAGGGATAAGTGCAGACTATTTTTATGTTTTATATACAGTATATTGGTCATAATTTGATGTTGTGGTATAAATACAGAGAGGAGAATTCTCACCCGCATGTTCATCAGCATCCCGGTTATCTATAGTAAGAGTCAAGGTCAACACAATACAATACAGCTGGAGCCTTCAGATTAGAACAGCTGAGGACTTGAGGGTTGCCAGGTCCAATCCCAACATCGGCCGGCGGTCACCCTCCAATTCGGCCTCTCCACCTCCCACAACTGATTTCCCCCCCCCCCCCCCCCCCCCCCCCCCCCCCCCCCCCCCCCCCCCCCCCCCCCCCCCCCCCCCCCCCCACCTTTTCCCACAATTTGCCAGTCTCAATACAATCAGAACACTTGGTTTAGATTGAAGGAAAACAGGATCTTGTCCAAATTTGCCGCATACAATTTCTGTAACTAGGCGGGGCAAGCTGACAATGGAAGCTGAACACAAAGACAGCATTGAGATGTGGGCTGGGTTGTGCCGAGTGTGACCTAGATTAGGTTTCTCTGCTCTGCAGGGGTAGACTGACACTGGGCCACTGGCACAGAGCCACCCTGACATGGCACAGTGCTGCAGAGAGAAATGGGGGGGGGGGGCAGGACACCGATGAGATAGAAATGCAGCGGGGCTAATAAGGCAGCAGAGTGCTAGGATCGATGGTGAGGAGAAAACCAAGCTGTGACCTTAGAGGCTGAAGGTAGATTGCAATTCATCATTTAAAAACAGGAGGTTTTTAAATGATGAATTGATAAGTGTGACAAAAACAGTTATGGTGCTTTGTGGAACCAGTTTCAAAAGGATACAACAATGCAGATCCAGTTGAAGAGGAGCATGAAGATGTAGTCTGCAGGTCTGCCATCAAAAGCCCCTGGAGAAGAAAACAGAAAAAAGGTTTAGCAAGACAATTTGTGTGTGTGTGTGTGTGTGTGTGTGTGTGTGTGTGTGTGTGTGTGTGTGTGTGTGTGTGTGTGTGTGTGTGTGTGTGTGTGTGTGTGTGTGTGTGTGTGTGTGTGTGTGTGTGTGAGACTGCATGTGTGTAAGCACCGGGGCCAGGCTTACCTGTCTCTAGCCGACTAGAATAGTGGTAGAGGAAATAGAGATTGACCAGGTACAGGAACCCAGTATTAGGGGTTATTGGGAAATACAAGGTAGCAGTCAGTGGTCTCCAGAGCTGAAACAAACAGAAGAGACATAAGTATAATGTGGTCAGACATACACGCGCGCGCAAGGATCCAGACTTTAAAGGGTTTTTCTTGTAAGACAAATGACATCTCATGTGGATTGTAGATGATAACTTCTAAACAGAGAAAAAGTGGCGCCAGACTCCAGCTGGAGTTCCTCTGAACAGTGTTACCTCGCAGGTAGATTCAAAGGTTTTGTTTGATGCCGATCAGATCGGAATGTAACTGGTGGCCCAAGGGCTGAGCCTTTTCTGTGTTAAATAACTTTTAATCAAGGGATGTCATTACAATATTCGATAGAGAAAAAGGTATCTAGTGTAATTTTCAGTTGAAAATATTTGTTGAAATTCAACTCATCTTTTCAGTGCTTGAATAACCAAAATTGGCAAACCTTCTACGATTCTAGTTTATCAAATCTGAGGAAGTATTTATTTTCTGCGTTGTTGTTGTTGTGTATCAGTTTAGGTTGGCTGTAACCACATGGAAGCACTAGATTTGCTAAAACTCTTGTGAGACCTGTTGCCCGACACCCTAACCTTACCTCAACCATCTAAAGGTCAATGCCAAACGTAACCATCTCTGAAGAACTTTTGCAAGTCAAGGGTTACATTTGAAGATGTCCCCATGGACTCCCACATATTGTGATGGGCATTTTTGCATACGTTTTTCATCATACAGACTAAATTATTAAATTTCATTTAAAGACATATTGACCATATTCAGCAGCAATAATTTCACTTCTCGTTAATAACAGTCCATCCATATCCATAATATAATATAACAGCGTATAAATGAGAATTCATTGTTATTCTATATTCACTGATATTGTTCGTGGTCTTTATAGCATTTGAATTTGGAGAAAAAAAAACGTCTAACTATAGTAAGTTTAAAATCCGAGTTGAATATCCCACAGCTCCCCTCTGAAGATATATAAGACAGCATAATAGTGACAGTCGTACAAACTAAGGTGCATTTTAAACAGAACAGGTCTCAGCAATCTTTTACCATCAGATAAATAGCAGAGGTTTCCAAATTATAATTAGTGTATGAAGCGGGACTATAAAGGATATTCAGGAACTTTTAACATTGTTCTGACTTAACTACCATTTAGTTATATTGACATGTATCACGTTACATCATAACTAAGCGACAGTAGGCTATATCATATGGTTGAGTGTCAATGTCTTATTCGGCTGCCAAGTGGCAAAACAGTTACATGTTATACATATTATATTTAATGTGTTATTGAATAGTTCAACTTGAAGTCAAATGTATATTCATATTGCATCATATTCTAGGTAAGTTTGTCCGGATTCAGTGAAGATGCGGAGTGATATCAAAGTAAAAGCCTTCCCGCAGGGCTCATTTCCAAGTAGGAAAGTCCCATAATAATGATAACAACATACTTTCTCCGCATGCAAAGCTACAGCACCTGAACACACTGGTTTTATTTCAGCAAACATCGAAAACACTCCGGCTACAATACAACTTCTGGTTGGTAACTTAATATTTGTGTTGTAATGTTATATTTAACCCTAATTTCAGTGTTGCTAAATTAAGTAACAGTTTGACAGCATCCGGAAGTAATGAGCTCCTGCGTATCGCCCTCTCATTGGCTGTCACACAGCACGGCCTGCTCAGTTAGCCTAGCTAGCTACCTGCTAACTAATCGCTCACATCGAAAACAAAGCAACCATGGCACGTATCAGCTACTCCAACACACAAAGGTGAACACAAACAAGATACACTTACATGAAATCTGCTTATAACCAGCTCTGGAAACAGCATGAGATTCCTGAAATCAATCAATCCCAGTTTCCCAATAAAGGGAACAGCAATCGAGGCAGCAAACCAGGTCCGGGTGATGAAAGGGATGCTTCTGAACCAGTCCCCGAGGTCTGACATCTTCCCATATAATTACTGCCGAGTTATAACCATGAAACAGGAGCTCCTCTTGAACAATTAACAAATATCCCCTAAAACAATGCAACCCCCTCGCTGCTTTTAAATCAGAAGTGCTGCACTGCTAACTTTACATGACGTGGCTAATCACAGGAGGCTAGCTATACATAGGTAAAGTTTCCTGGATTCTAGCAGACACATCCGGTTCAGCTTTTCAGTTTAAGTTAAATCTATCCCTACTGGGCATAGCTTTTACTACAAGTGCTTCTACCACTAAAAATAAGAGCAATAGAAAAACAATTATTTGACAAAGAAGTGATATTCTTGGGGAAAAAATAATGTTAGTGAGAGGAAATTGAAGGCTTGCACCATTTATTAGGAACATAAGAAGAAACGTGTTTTTTTAAGCCTATAATAATGTATGCTAATGCATGTGTCAATTTTTATTTTTGTTGTATTAACCTTGATTTGGAAAGTAACTTGTTACTAAATAAATTGTGGAGTAAGAAGTACAACATTTGCCAACAAAATGTATTGGAGTAAAAGTATAAAGGAATATCATTTGAAAATACTTAAGTCAATAACAAGTATCTCAATTGTTTTATTTAAGTACAGTTGCTCACAGTAAACTTTACTTTTCTTAGAGTTAATTGACAGTTTTGTCTGTCTTCTTACCTTGTTCATATTGGTTCACATAAGTGATAATAATCATTGTATTGTTCAGAGGGTTGTTGACATACTAACTTGACAATTCTTGCAAGTACTTTTGATGAAGTCTTATACGTTTTTCTTCTCTTAACAAAATAATTTAAAGTTGTTAGTTTATGATCTTTTATCATTATTAAGTTATTTACACGATTATTCATATCATATTCGTATCATGCACTTAGTTTGAAAGACACATTTTACAACCGGATGTCCTTGTATTATCTCACACCAACACCTTTGTTTGTTTTTGCATTATTCTAGCACTTCCTGTGAAAGTCACAAAAGCTCACACTGGACCAATCAAAAGGCAACAAGCAACAGAAAGAGGCGTGCCCACGCGACAGTTTACTTTCCCCACAGCAACCACCTGTGGAGGGCTCGAGCCAATGTAGCGGAGAATGTGAAACATGTCAATAAGACGACAAATAAAGCCCATTAAGAATCAATAATGATGATAAATATCAATTTTAATGAAACTTTATCATGATTTTACTTTACTTCATGACTCTGAAGTTAGGTAAACGTTTTCAGGGTTTTGATAATAATTGTGTTCAGCTAATTCAATATAATAGGCCTGAGGGATACATACAGTAGGCCTACTGACTGAGTAAGGATTGTATTGCCAAGTAAGTTTACACATACAAGGTATTTGCTTTGGTGTACGGTGGTGCATACATAATCAACATTTAAGGAAATTAGTTGTAGGAGATGATCAGAAATATAATATAACGCTTACAAAAAGAAAACTTATAAATAGAACAATTGGGAAACTGAATGTTATGATGGAGAATGATTGATTCAATGTTTCCCTTTTCACTAATAATAATACAATAGGCCTATACAAATCACAAAATATAATTATTTACAGATGAATATTACACACTTATTGTAGGGTCCCTCTCAGTTAGACCATATTTATGTAGTCCATGAGTGTAGTTTTCAACTACAACTCCCATATTGCTCCGCCTATTTTACGTCATTTTAGGGCGCCTAAACTGTTCTCAAAACAAGCAAAAACCTCTCCTGTAGCTGAAGTTGAAGCAAACTCTTAGAGTCTGATAACCTTTTTTAGGGGCTGTTGAACTTTGATTTACACTAAATGGTGGCGAGCTTTACGCCTTCTATGGCCGTAACTGTAGATAAGTGTAATGTTATCAAATGAAGCGCATTCAAATTTCGCGCTGTTTGATCCGCCTTTAAAGAGAGACCAGTCTGTTAGCTAGCCATGTTTGTCACCGTAAAAATGCGTCAAGAGCATACATAAGGTAAAGAGGACATTCTGTTTTGTATATGTATGCTGTGAGACCAGACAGACGTCTTTAAAATGGAGGTGACGGATATCGGAAACAAAGAAGAGGGGAAAGTCTGGCATCGAAAACCAACACCAGGAAAAGGGTAGGTCTCAAATATCCAGACGATGCACCTGGTTAGTGGTGTAATGTAACTAAGTACATTTAAGTACTGTACTCAAAATTATATTCCTTACACTTCTTTACAGCTTAGGTTAATACAAAATATAAATGGACTCATACATTATTATAGGCTATCCAGTAGTTTATAAAGTAGCCTAATTCAAATTAACCTTTACTACAACACTGAAGTGACGAACAAATAAATGCACCAATACTTTAAATAAAATAATTTTTAAAAAAACGACTTACTAACTTACTTTTGGTACTTAAAGTATATTTTGATGCTTATACTTTTTTACTTCAACTTAATTACAAATATGAATGCAGTACATTTACTTGTTGTAACAGAGTGTTTTACACTGCTTATTTATTGTAAGGGAGTTATGTTCTGTAACACGTGTTGCACTCCTCATAACGTTACATTCAACCAAGTATGAATATGAACTGTAAACATTTGAATGACAAACACTATGTATAAAGTTTAAAGGTATAGCCATATATTGTATACCCCCCCCCCCCCCCCCCCCCCCCCCCCCAAGAGATCTGTCTTTAGATCTGTTGTTTTTTTCCAGCCTCTTTTTTTAGTTTGTTTTTGAACCACTAGAGTGCATCCATGGTTCACTAAAAAGTGTTGCTGAGTTAGCATTTCTCCTTTCTAATGTGTATGTTTTTGTGTAATTGACAGTTAGAGGAATATAAAATAGCCTGTGATATATCACACTAGCCACAAATAGTAAATAGTTGGTTGAATCTTTTAAAGGTGTGTTGTTTGTCCTCTCCAGAGTGTTGGTGACGGTGGTCCGCACTGCTCAGCAGGCCAAGATAGTGCGTTTTCTCCATGTGACCTTTGACACCACAGGGGACTCCTTCCTGGCTGGAGATCACCATGGCAACATCTACGTCTTTGACATCAGTAGAAACAGGTGAATGACTGAGCTCAAAAGCCCAAAAATAATTGTGTTTAAGACATTCACAAATATAATGGGCCACTTACTGTCTTAATTACTGTGCACACTTTCCTTATCAATGCTAGTAATGGAAATGTAATACTGACAATTCTATTTGGAGTGGTAAATACACTTACACACTTTTTATTTGTCCCAATTTTCTTTTTAATATCCAAGCACATAATGTTTTATCATAAATGTATTTTCCTTTCTTATTTAGAGCACAGACAGAACACAGTTGCCTTAAAGGTCACCTATTGTGCAAAATCCTTTGTCATGTATTTTATACATCAACATGTGTCCCCTCTGTGTAAAGAGATTCTGAAAGTTTCAGGAAAAAAGATTTGCTCACTTTTTGTCCTGATCCATTTATATAAAAACCTGGTAACCAAGGTAACACCCCCCCCCCCACACCTTATCTCCTCCTAGAGTACCATTGCGTTCTTTTTAACCAAATATCTCTCAGAGGGGCGTGGGGAGGGGCTCCTTATTTTTTATCTCAGACAGAAAATCAGCACTTTAGAAACAGAGGGGTTTATGGGATGCTACAATGATCTGTTGGAGCCAAACACTTCCGAAACATGTTTGTATATATCTGAGACCTATAATATATTGATGAAAAACAGTATAATAGGGGACCTTTTTAAAGTGATCAGCCCTTACTCCTTAGACTCGGCATGCTTTCACATTTATCTGAGCTTGTGTTTTCCATTGCTTCTTTTCTTCGGTGCAGATTCCGTCTGGTGCAGAAGACAGGGCAAGCCTGCACTGCTCTGGCCTTCAGCCTCCGCAGGACCACAGAGTTCCTGGTGGCCTTGGCTGACTACACCATCAAGTGCTTTGACAAAGGTAGGATATGAAAACATCCCCACTTCAGTTTGCAAATTGTTATTTTCATAGATGTATGTTTTTTGGTTTTAAAGACTTTTTCTACACGAGTCATTTTCGATGACACTTATCTTTTCATTCCCTTAATTTCAGACACAAAGCAGCTGGTCAGTTGGATGCGGGGTCACGAGGGATCAGTTTCTTCGATCTCTGTCCACAGCTCCGGTCGCTACGCCATCAGCACGTCTTCAGACACGGCTCAGCTCTGGGACATGGACACCTTCGAGAGGAAGAGGAAGCTCAACATCCGACAGTCTGTTGGTATTCAGAGGGTAAGCATCCATAAACAAATAAAATAGCAGCATTCACAACGTGAAGCTTAGCATTAATGGGGCATTCTGGGTTTTATCTTTTGAAATAGGGTTTTACGTTTTTTTTCTTCGAACGGGCTGCACGATATGGGGAAAATAATGCCATATAACTTTGTTGAATATCGTGATAACCAATTTTTCTCCATAAATTAAATATATTGAACATCAAACTGAACAAAAGAATCACCAATAAAATATAATTATTATATAAATATTGTAGTCTTTTGCCATGTGTAGTAATTTTGGGTTAATTCTAAGCTATTGATACAATATGTCTCGCACATGTATGGTAGGCGAACATTTTGTGTTCTTTTTCAATTGTTTATGGGGACTGCACACTGTTTGTGTTGCAGGTGTTTTTCCTTCCTCTCAGTAACACCATCCTCAGCTGCTTCAGCGATGACTCCATCTTTGCTTGGGAGAGCGACACTCTGTCCTGCAAATACCAGCTCCCTGTCCCTGACTGTGGACCCAAAGTCTCCTACAAGGCCTTCGCTGTCACACGGTGGGTCTTTCGCATCACTACACCTAACTAGCTCAGTTATTATGTAGCTTCCAAAGTACTTTTTCATGATTTATATTTCCCACTCTCACTGTGTCGGCAGTGATGGTAAGAGCCTTGCTGCTGGGGGGCGTTCCAACCTGCTGCACCTGTGGTGTCTGGACAGCAAACAGCTGATCAGGGTGATTCAGATGCCCACGCAGGTCCGAACCGTCAGACAGCTGGATTTCCTGCCGGACAGCTTTGACGGAGGAGCCAGCCAGGTGTGGTAAATGTTAAACATATGATTATTTTCTCCACAGCAAACATGTCGGGTTTGTTAGAGCATTTCTTTCTGTCTATGTAGACGCTAGGTGTATTGAGCCAGGACGGTGTGATGCGTTTTATCAACATCCACACCTGCAAGCTGCTGTTCCACATGGGTTCCCACGACGACGCCATCACCACAGCGACGGTCAGCCCCAACGGCAGACACGTGGTGGCCATCATGGATAATGGCAGCATCAATGTCTACAGTGTTCAGAGTCTCACTCAGGAATTAAACAAGGTGGCAGTGAGTTGTGATATCAGATCAACAATGTCAAAGATTCAAAAGTGATGTAAGGTGTTGTTCTGTATGTGTGTTCATTATGTGTGTGTGCCCGCCCCTCGGCCAGCCTCCTCCCTCCAGGGTGGCAGTGGTCTCTGGCGGTGGAGCTGATCAGGACTTGTCCAACTTAAAGGTCAAGGTCAGGTCAGAGGTCGTTCAGAGAGGCAGGCAGACACAGGTGAAGATACTGAGACCCCCTGCTTGCTTTACAGCTGAGGAGAAAGAGGTAGGATCAACACTCATCAATGCTGTTATATTTTACATGTTCTTAATTTCTTTTAAGTCATAGGAATGTTCCACCACAAAGTATTACTTGCTACAATGAGTGGTTTTTCATGTTACGGTTATACTTCTTTGAACAGAATGAACTGCCTGCTGGTCTGAATAAGAAGAGGTTGGTCGCTCTGCTCAAAGGGTTTGGAGAGTATCCGGCTAAATACAGGTGAAGATAACTTCCACAGGATGAGGATTCATGCCAACCTTTTTACACTTGGTGTCAGATTAACATGAGACATTTGCATGTCTGTGTTGCAGGATGTTCGTGTGGCGGTCTCTGTTGTGTCTCCCAGAGAACCATGCGGCGTACAGCAGTCTGACTGACAAAGGCCTGCACTCAGCCTACCTCACTCTGCAGGATAAATACCCCATCAAAAGTCACAAATTACAGAGGGGCCTGCAGAGGTAATTGCTGCACACACACACACACACACACACACACACACACACACACACACACACACACACACACACACACACACACACACACACACACTATTGCAGTGCTTTCTTGTTTCTGATACTTGTAATTTAGTTTCTATCCTTTGTTTAGAGAAGAGTGTTAAGGCCAGGCCTGAATGGGAAGAAATAGGAGTATTTCATTTTTTTAATTTTGAATTCAAGAATAATGTAAAACGTTCAATGTATTTGCTTCCACTAAAAGTTGGATTTATTGTCGACATCTTACTCTATTCTTAAAAAAAATATGAATACTTAAAATCCAACCATATTCTCGCCCCTTGACTTAGTACTTACATTATTCTAGAAATGTATTACATTTTGGACATTTCAACTTTATTCTCTGCTGTTCGACTTATTCTCCACATTTAATCTTAATTCTCAACATTTGAACTTTTTAGTTTTAAAAAATAAATAAAGGTCTTCTCCCCTTTTCTGACCTTAATGCCTGACCCTGTTACTGTTCCTTAACTGTCCTCTCCTCCACTCCTCAGGGTTCTGTCTGCCTTAGCTCACTGGGCAGCCATCTTTGGAGAGGTGGAGTACCTCCCCCTGGTAGCCTTCCCTTTCGTCAAACTCTTCCAGAACAACCCAATGCTCTGTTTTGAGGTGGTGGCCACTGTCATAGGTACTGAATGTTTGTATTTATGAAGTAGTAGGCACAACATTATGAAAAAATATGAAATGACATCGACACATATTTGAAAGTATTGTGGCCTTTTTATGTGTAGAAGGTAGCACTGCTACATTCATAAGCCTAAAACCAAAAATCACTGCTACTAATGCGACTAAAGATTGTTGGACTGTTGACATTTCTGAACTTATTTTAAGCTCTGTTAATCAGGAATTTCAATGTTTTTTGGCTCAGTTTATTAGTCTGTTGATGACTGATGTTTGGTTGCACAGTGAATTGGGGTCAGCACTGGTTCGAATACTTTCCCAACCCCCCTCTGAACATCCTGAGCATGGCGGAGAACGTTCTGGCTCATCATGACAAGGAGCTGCTGCAGCACCTGGTGGACTGTGGCATCACCTCCCAGGTAACTGCAGGACAAACAGCCTGACGTGAAACACCCCTGTGATGCTAACACTTACTATGCATCTCTATACCTGTCCCAGCTCTACGTGTGGCCGCTGCTGGAGACCTTGTTCTCAGAAGTTCTTACTCGTGAGGAGTGGCTCAGGCTCTTCGACAACATCTTCTCCAACCATCCATCCTTCCTGCTCCTGGCCTGCGTGGCTTACATCACCTGCTGCCGGGAGCCTCTGCTGCTCTGCTCCCAGAAAGAGGACTTTGAGGTAAATGGATCAAGTCAGACCCATAGTCAGTAACTGGATGTCCTCCCCCATCTAATCATCCTCCATTGTCCTGTTTCTTTTCCTCTCAGTATTTCTTCCACCATCGTAACAACCTGGATCTGGGAGCCATGATAAAGGAGGCTTACCGGCTCATGGGCAGCACACCGGCTGACATCCATCCCAGGACTTTGCTCTCTGACTTTACTCCACTGACCAAAGGCCAGTACCCCGTGTTCAACCACTACCCAGAATTCATAGTGCAATACCAGAGCCGGGAGAGGGAGAAGATACGACTGCAAGAGATGGAGTATCTCCGCGAGAGGTGAGCGTATAGCTAGAGTATTAACAGTTTTAAGAAGATACATTTCAAGCTGTAACAGATGTTTTATCACACCAGGCAGGAGGTGTCAGCACTGCACACAGATTGCGTGCGTCGCCAGGCTGAAGAGGAGGCCTATTATGCACAACAGGTAGATATTGTTTATCATAAATCCATGTTAAGCACATATTATGTTATGATGAAATTCTTGTCTTCCTCGTATAGTTCGCCCTTATATGAAAATGTTGTGAGCTAAATACATGATTTCTTCATATGAACATAGGAGCTGTTGCAGAATGCAGAGGAACAGCGCAGAAACATCCTGGCACAAGAAGAGGAAAAACTAGCTCAGCAGAGGACAAAGTAGGAGAAAGAGAAAAGAGTGATGTGATTTAGCAGAATAGGCTTCTGACACGGCTCTGTTCTCTGCAGGTTGGCAGCCATGAAAAGAGAGCTGAAGGTGAAGGAGCTACAGCTGCTGGATGCGACCAAAAGACGTTTCCTCAAACACCAACAGGACCTCAGAGCCTCGCAGGTCCAAAGGCTGGACCAGGAGATCAGTACAAAGGTAACCTGGGGAGATGCATTCAAGGTGGTATTTCATATAAAGGAGCCCATGTTAGAAACACAAGCTCTGCTGATCACAGTTCATCCAGCTGGTGGGATTGTCTGTATGTATTCAAAGGAAACGTCATTTTGAGCACTGACTGACCCAAGCATAACCCACATGTTGTGCTACAGATGGATCTCCGGGAGCGAGAAACGGCTACAGCAGTCCAGGATCTGGAAGTCCGACAGATGGAGCTGGAGGCCCAGCGGAAACGACTCGAACAGGTGACCGAGATTCAAAAGACTTGAAACTTCTTTTTACTCGTCTTACGCCTTGTCTTTTGATTAACTTCTCCCTCCCTCCTTCCTCTATCCGTGTGAGCATTTATCCCCCAGTGATGTCTCATCTAAAGCTAGTAAACATGTTGCAGTTGAAAATACTAAAAGCATATGTTGTGCTTTCTCATGGGACATTTAATAGAGCACATGTTTGACACCAGTCCCAGGTCAGCCTTTAAGTTGAAAAAATGGTTTAGAGTATAGGTTACACTAAGGTAAAGCAACATATTTAGCTGATCACATTTTTGTAATAATTGTGCATCTGAAGTGTTTGTTTGTCGTTTCCCTCAGCACCTGTTTAAGGAGCAGGAGCGCGTGGGACGGGAGGTTGAGGAGGAGATGAAGATGAGGAAGGCAGAAAGAGAGGAGGAGAACTACACAGAGCTGTTACACCACACAGAGACCAACATGCAGGTTAGAAGGACTTTCCGATACGCAGCCAGTGTGATAATAACAACATATGTCAGCATTTCAAACACTTGTGAATTCCTCTGACTTCACGGGAAACTATCAAAGCCTCGCTGGCACGCAAACTCTGTATCTGTTAACTCTCTCTCACACACGCAGGCGCTGGAGGAGTCCCTAGCGGAGGCGTGCCAGCTGGGCCTGGAGTCGGACTGGCAGAGGGAGGTGGGGGGGCGCCTGCAGCAGGTCCACGCCCAGCAGCAGAGCAACAGGGGGAGACTGGCAGAGAGTCACAGGCAGACGCTGGCAGAGGAGGAGAGGCTGGAGGACACCATGAGGGATGTTGCCGGGAGGAAGGTGAGAACAACACGAGTGTTTGCCAAGACAACAATTTAAGTATTCCTAATGTACAACTATAACTAACAGCATGGGCGTTTCTGTTATCTTTAAATAAATATAAACAAATGGCTCTCAAGAAATTGATCTTTGTGATCGACACGCATAATATCCCACCTTCAATCCATGAATTACTAACTGTGAAACATCACGGAAGACACATTGTGGGGTCTGGAAAATGAAATGTTTTGCTTATTGTTATTCATAAAGGTACTTGTTTAATTGCAGTGGGATGAGGTAATGAATTCCAGAGCTGAGTTACAGGAGCAGCCTCTGTCTTCAGCTGAAACGGGTATGACTCCACACACACACACACACACACACACACTCGACGTGGATCTAATGTACCAGTGTGTGCTTTGTCTCAGACGTCCGAAGACAGATGAGGGTAGTATCGCCTCCTCATCGACCCATACCCGCCCCTTCTGTCAGTGCTGGACCCAGCGCTGCAGGTCCAGACATCAGGCCCGGCCCTGCCCCCCCCCTGAAGCAGGCACAAACCAACATGGTGTGTCTGAACAGCCGATCGCCTTCAGAGAGCACCTCCACCGTCTGTAAGTCACTGTAGACATTCTCCTGTTTTCTTAAGGTATACCAACAGGTGTGTTGTTTTCATACGGTGACGATACAGACTGCTTCAGCTCAAATGGCTCTCTGATGAAGAGCCACAAATGCAAAGCAGCAGCAGACTTGTGTTTGGTGACATGTCTGTGTTGCCCACCATCAAACAAAGTGATCAATTGCAGAGATCACAAGATGTACAATGCCTTGCAAAAGTATTCACCCCCCTTGGCATTTTTCTTTAATTCGTTTTAATTTAACGATTGAATTAGATTTGTTGAGAATGTGTGGTATTTGATATACACAACATGCCTACAACTTTGAAGATGCAAAAAATATTTTTTATTGTGACACAAAAAAGAAATAATAATGAAAAAGAGAAAACATGAGCGTGCATAACTACTCACCCCCCCCAAAGTCAATACTTTGTAGAGCCACCTTTCGCAGCAATAACAGCTGCAAGTCTCTTGGGGCGTGTGTCTATAAGCTTGGCACATCTTTCCACTGGGATTTGTTTCCATGCTTCTTGGCAACACTGCTCCAGCTCCTTTAGGTTAGATGGGGTCCGCTCGTGTTCAGCCTTCTTTAGGTCATACCACAGATTTTCCATTGGATTAAGGGCTTTGACTTGGCCACTCCAAAACGTTTCCCCTTAAACCACTCTAGCGTTGCTTTAGCAGAATGCTTTGGGTCATTGTCCTGCTGGAAGGTGAACCTCCGCCCAAGCCTCAATTCTCTGGCAGACTGAAACACAGTTTCCTCAACTATTTCCCTGTAATTAGCTCCATCCATCACTCCTTCTATTTTGACCAGCTTCCAGTCCCTGCCGATGAAAAACATCCCCACAACATGATGCTGCCACCACCTTGCTTCCCTGTGGGGGTGGTGTTGTGAGGGGGATCAGAGGGGTTGGGTTTGGGCCAGACGTTTACCTTGACGGCCAAAAGTTCCATTTTAGTCTCACCTGACCACAGGACCTTCTTCCACATGTTTGGGGAATCCTCCACATGCCTTTTGGCAAACTCCACACGTGTTTTCTTATTTTTTGCCTTAAGCAATGGCTTCTTTCTGACGACTCTTCCATAACGCCCAGCTCTGTGGAGTGTACGGCTTACTGTGGTCCTATGTACAGATTCTCCTCTCTCTGCTGTGGAGCTTACCAGCTCCTTCAGGGTTACCCTCGGCCTCTTTGTTGCCTCTCTGATCGATGCTCTCCTTGCACGGTGTGAGAGTTTTGGTGGGCGGCCCTCTCTTGGCAGGTTTGTTGTCGTGCCATATGTTTTCCATTTTAAAATAATGGATTTAATGGTGCTTCGTGGGATGTTCAAAGTCTGTGAGATTTTTTTATAACCCAACCCTTTGTCATACTTTTCCACAACTTTGTCCCTGACCTGTTTGGAGAGCTCCTTAGTCTTCATGGTGTCGTTTTCTCGCTTAGAAAGGCCACTTGCTGAGGTATGGAGGACTGAGGCCTTCTACAACAGGTGTATATATACAGAGATAATGAGGCACTTGATTTAACACAGGTGAACTTTATTTAAATTATTGTGTGACTGAAGGTCTTTGTTTGGGCTAAATAGCACACACCACTTTTCAGTTTTTAATTATTTTTTATGTTTTAAAAGATGCTCTCTTTTTTTTCACTTCACCAATTTTTTGTGTGTGTGTGTGTGTGTGTGTGTGTGTGGTTCACAAGTCTTTTTTTGCAAGTCCAAGTCTTTGGTCACGAGTCCAAGTCTTTGTGGGGTGAGACTTGATCAAGTCTCAAGTCTTTGGTCACGAGTCCGAGTCAAGTCTCAAGTCTTTGTGGGGTGAGACTTGATCAAGTCTCAAGTCTTTGGTCACGAGTCCGAGTCAAGTCTCAAGTCTCTAAAAAATAAAAGTCTCATGTCTCTTCTGGTTGTAATAAGCCTTCTATTGTCTGCTGCTATCCAGTCTGTTAAGAATACTGCACAGCTATATCTAAGAAATTCAAAGCATTTACTGTATTATTACCACTCCTATATCTATTAGCATACAGTATCCGTACTGATTAGTTGTTTGTTATATGATCACTTTAAACAGACTATTGCAATGCAATATGAGGAAAAACATCACACTTTAGCTAAATGCAAACAACTAAGCAAAACACTTCAGAATCAGAAATCAGTATCACAAATACTTTATTAATCCCCCGCAGGGAAACTGTGTTAAAAGTACTTTAAAATAAACATTTGTTCTGTGCCATTTGCAACTAAAAAACTATTGCTGCAATATTATCTGAAATATACTGAACTGGTGATATTAAAACATGACCTGTTCCAAAAGAGATATCTACCATTAACACCATTTACCAGCCAAATGCTGGTAAATCATGCAAGTGGCTGGTACTGTATGTTGCACGCACCAGCCACAAATAACAATGGCAATCTATTGAGTGGCTGGTAACATTTCAACATTCACTAGGCTAGCCATTTGGCCAGTTTGACCTCTGCAACCGTATTGTTTAATTACACTGGGTCTCTAATGACATCTTTTAAGTCTACTATAAATAAACATATTCCTCTATCCTCTCACTCAAACCCAGTGTAATGGTAACCTGATAAACCTGTAACATTAACGTTACGTGGTCAACAATAAACCTGTAACCTGCCTATAAACCGACAGATGTATTTATGTATGTAACTATGTATTTTTCTACGTTTAACGTTAGCCAGTAGATGGTGGCAGCGGAACGTAATGATTAACGTTACCGACCTTTTTTATGTCATGTCAAGAGTTGGATGTCAACGCCACTCAACGCAAACAAGTGTGACAAGCAAACATTCACTCATCTTTTCAAATATTCAGTTACAAAGCTAGTATCAAGCTAAGTTAACATTACATAGCTGATGCTGAGCTAAACATGTTTGCTAACCGTCCATATGCGTTAATGTGACTGACCTCTCCGGGTGAGTTTTCAAGTGCCTGATGAAATTTGACGTTGCACCAGCATCCTTGATTTTAATATTGCAGACTTTGCAGTGTGCGCTCCTTTTGTTGGTGCCGCCGGCGTTTTGTTCGAAGTTTTTATAGTTGAACCTAATTACAAGCGGTACAGCTGCAGGTGTGCCGCCGGTCGCCATGGTGTTACCATGATGTTAATGTTAAAGGTGGGGTAGGTAAGTTTGAGAAACCGGCTCGAGATATACTTTTTGTTATATTCCATGGAATGCTCTTAACATCCCGATAGCAATGAATATCTGAAGTGCTTTCACAAAAAATCCATAAAAAACTTTCATCTGTGGAAGCCGTAGTACTGTAAAAAGTACGACCAGTTATTTTAGCCGGCCCGGCTAAAATAACTGGATGGCCTACCTGCCTGTCAGCCTTCCATCGGGGCACAAACGTATCTCGTGCCCTCATTGGTCATGTGCGCGTTCGTGTGTGTTGGAGGAGGGGCTCTGTAAGGAAGTGGCAGATTTTCTCCGGTTGTGTATTTTCAGATTCTAGCGATCTCGAGCCGGTTTCTCAAATTTACCTACCCCACCTTTAATACGCCAAAAATAGAAAACACAAACTCGAGTCCCCATCTCTGGTGTGTGTCAAATACTTTCTTGTTTCTCATCTTGCTGGACAATGGTTATTGCAATTGGGTAACAAAAGGTTGAGACCTTATGAAGCACTAAACCTACTTTTTCGTAGAAGGGGCATTACAAATATTTGTATAAAGAAGATGCTAAATAAATTAGCTGTTATTTTTCACAAGCAATCCATTAGTTGTTTGCTTAGTAAAAGAGCAAGAGATGATGTTAAATTGCTCTCAAGAGGGGTGGGTCGAATGGGCAATTACTCTCATACATACCTTTTTGTTCATCATTCAATCATTTAACTGTTTCATCCATTGCAGCTCTAAATAATATGGCCAGCCTTCTCTTCAGTTTGAGTGTGAATAATGTTTCTATGTGTTTGTCTTTCTTTGACTCCTGACAGTTTCCTTGGACAGAGGTCGGGCCCAGCTGGACAGCAGCGAGAGAAATCTGATGAAGGAGATCAGAGAGTTGAGACAGAAGCTGGCTGCCAGAGCCAGAGAGGGCAGCTCCTCCCCGTCTGTCCTCACTCTGTCCTCTGTCTCCCAGTGACACACTCTGTCCTCTGTCTCCCAGTGACAGACTCTGTCTCCCAGTGACACACTCTGTCTCCCAGTGACACACTCTGTCTCCCAGTGACACACTCTGTCTCCCAGTGACACACTCTGTCCTCTGTCTCCCAGTGACAGACTCTGTCTCCCAGTGACACACTCTGTCTCCCAGTGACACACTCTGTCCTCTGTCTCCCAGTGACACACTCTGTCCTCTGTCTCCCAGTGACACACTCTGTCCTCTGTCTCCCAGTGACACACTCTGTCTCCCAGTGACACACTCTGTCCTCTGTCTCCCAGTGACACACTCTGTCCTCTGTCTCCCAGTGACACACTCTATCCTCTGTCTCCCAGTGACAGACTCTGTCCTCTGTCTCCCAGTGACACACTCTGTCCTCTGTCTCCCAGTGACACACTCTGTCTCCCAGTGACACACTCTGTCCTCTGTCTCCCAGTGACACACTCTGTCCTCTGTCTCCCAGTGACACACTCTGTCCTCTGTCTCCCAGTGACACACTCTATCCTCTGTCTCCCAGTGACAGACTCTGTCCTCTGTCTCCCAGTGACACACTCTGTCCTCTGTCTCCCAGTGACACACTCTGTCCTCTGTCTCCCAGTGACACACTCTGTCCTCTATCTCCCAGTGACACACTCTGTCCTCTGTCTCCCAGTGACACACTCTGTCCTCTGTCTCCCAGTGACACACTCTGTCCTCTGTCTCCCAGTGACACACTCTGTCCTCTGTCTCCCAGTGACACACTCTGTCCTCTTCCCAGTGACACACTCTGTCTCCCAGTGACACACTCTGTCCTCTGTCTCCCAGTGACACACTCTGTCCTCTGTCTCCCAGTGACACACTCTGTCCTCTGTCTCCCAGTGACACACTCTGTCCTCTGTCTCCCAGTGACACACTCTGTCCTCTGTCTCCCAGTGACACACTCTGTCTCCCAGTGACACACTCTGTCCTCTGTCTCCCAGTGACACACTCTGTCCTCCGTCTCCCAGTGACACACTCTGTCCTCTGTCTCTCAGTGACACACTCTGTCCTCTGTCTCCCAGTGACAGACTCTGTCTCCCAGTGACAGACTCTGTCTCCCAGTGACAGACTCATCTCTGTCTTCATCACAGAAACATATTCCTATCTCAGACTACAGAAACAGACTGAGGAGCATCCTGGCTGCTGACTGTCATAGTGTTCCTAAAGCATCCTCTAAAAACCACTTGTTCTCGTTCTGTGTGCATTCAGTCCTCTGACTGGCTCCATCATCTGCTGAGTTCTCTGGTAAAATCCCCACTAGCAGCTACAGTACCATTCATTTTCAACTCCGTTCTATCTGTGACTCTGGCCAAACAAAAGCCAGAAGCTGCATCATCCTCACTGTCTGTAGCCGCTGAACACTACCCTGTGTCACAAAGTGATGCAACACACAATACTTTGTATATGATAGACATCTGTTAGTTTGTTTACAGAGCAGTGGAACATCTTTGTAACTATTTTACCTCCAAATGTGTTATTGTATCATTCCAATGTAATGTTCATTTGTACACTTTATATTCATAGTTGTAGATTATTTAAGTATTCTTGCTGGTGCCCCATTTAGCATTTTTATTTCAATGCATTTTCTGTAATTTTATTATTTATGATCTGGTTTGGATAAAATATTTTTTAAAAACCTAATTCCACCTTCTCTTTCATTTTGCTTTTAAATAATTTATAGAAAGTAGGGGTTGGGGAATAAAGGATGGGATGGGAATTTGAAAGCATAAGTATATTCGAATATTCGGCCCCCCAAAAAACGGTTAACCGAAATGTACATATCCTATAAAATAAAAAAAATTCAATAACTTTTGGGAATAAATAAATACATGTTCAAATAAGTATAGAAACCAAGTCTAATTTGTCAAATGTATTGTAGTTATTGTAGTGAGAAGGGACAGGAACGTGAATGGAGGTGGTGTCTGCATGTACATACATAAAGACACCAATTTCAAAAACCGTACTGACCTGCATCATGAAAATATTGAATCTGTGGGTTGAAATTCTTTTTGACAATGCTAAATCTGTAATAGTCGGGACAATCTATAGACCACCGGAACAGAGTGACTTTTATGATACATTAGATGGGTGTTTGGCTGATGTGGGGGATGTAGAGACAATTATTATTGGAGACTGGAACACGGATATGCAACGTAAAGACACGTCCGTCTTCAAGTCCTTCAGTAGGATTTGTGATCTGCACGGCTTCAGCCAGCTAATCACCCAACCCACCCGGGTATGTGAAACAACACAAACTACCATTGATCTCATTCTGACCTCTGACAAGTCCAGGATCTCCAGTAAAGGGGTTATAGCATGCGGGTTAAGTGATCATTATATGATATTCTGTACCCGCAAAAAGCTAAAACAAAGGGCCGGCTGTCACAAAACAGTCATATCTAGAGACCTCAAAAACTACTCTAGCGAGGCATTTAGCCTAGAACTGGAGAGCCTGGACTGGTCAGATGAGCTCAGTGGTACACAAGTTGAAGAAACATGGCTTGGTTTAAAAAACAAATTCTCTGCAATACTCAATGATTTGGCCCCCCTAAGAACAACCAGGGTAAAAAATCGCGCTGAGCCGTGGATGCACTCCGGCATACTGACCGCCATGAAAACCAGAGACAAAAAATGCTCTCAGTTTCATAAAAGTCAGTCAATGCTTTCCAAAAGCACGAGCAGTGAACTCCAGGCCCACGTGACTGAACTCAAAATTGAAAGAAACAGACTAAGAAATGACGTAAGCTCCATGATCAAAACTGCCAAAAAGAATTTCATCAATGTCAAAACTGAGGAAAACAAAAATAAACCCCGTGAACTTTGGAAATTACTCAATAACCAGCTTGGCTGCAGTAAAAAACTCAAAACGAGATTTTCTAACTTAAACATAAAGACAGATAACAGGCTCATCACAGACAAACTGGATGTGGCCAAGTACTTGAACATTTTTTTCACAACATAGCCACAACTCTTGTAAATAAATTACCCTCCCACTCAGGGCTTTTTGGAGTAGATCACATCATGACCTGCTACAAAAACCTAGGGGTACGCAAAGATGATTTCAGTCTAGCAAGGGTAACAACAGCAGAGGTACTCATTAAACTGAGCGCCCTCCAACCTAACAAGGCCACTGGCCACGACAATATCCCCTCCAAATTCCTCAGAGACTCAGCAACCGCCATCTCACCAGTCATAGCTCACATAATTAACCTCTCCATAAAACAGGGAAAAGTACCCAAAGACTTCAAAATTGCAAGAGTAACCCCCCTGCACAAAAAGGGCATCAAATTGGACCCAGGCAACTACCGCACTGTTTCTATACTTACCTCCATCTCGAAAGTCATGGAAAAAATAGTATATGAACAGGTCGAAAAGTACCTCGCGGAAAATAAACTAATCTATGAATTTCAATCTGGCTTTAGAACATCCCACTCCACTGACACATGCCTTCTTTATTTGAGCGACCACATCAAACAAGAGGTGGACGAGGGCAAGTACTGCGGCATGGTGATGCTGGACCTACAAAAGGCTTTCGACACTGTCAATCACCCCATTCTGATTGACAAGCTAAAAGCAATTGGTTTTGATAAACTATCGGTGAGCTGGATGCAATCCTACCTGGAGGGGAGAGAACAGATGGTGGAGGTAAACAGTACTCTGTCCCCCCCCCCTCCCAGTGAGCTGTGGTGTTCCACAAGGAAGCATATTAGGTCCGTTACTGTTCCTAATTTATGTAAATGACATGTCATCAGCATGTGACTGCAACTTGTTCCTGTTCGCGGACGACTCAGCCCTGCTGGTCTCTGACAGGAACAGGTTGCAGGTTGAAAAAACCCTCAGCTCCGAGGTCGGCAGAATCTGCACCTGGCTCGCCGATAATAAATTATCATTACACCTGGGTAAAACAGAGTCCATTCTCTTCGGTTCGAAACATAATCTCAGCAAATCCGACGACTTCTCAGTTGCAGTGGGTGACATTGTCACAAGTAAGAAGGAAATTACATACCTAGGATCTATTCTTGAGGCAAACCTCTCCTGTGACAAAATGGCATCCAATGTAATAAAAAAAGTCAATCAAAGAACTAGATTCCTATACCGGATCTCCTCTCTGGTAAACAAAAACACCCTGAAAACTCTGGCAGGAGCACTCATTCAAGGGTACTATGACTATGCTTGCACGTCATGGTACCATAGCACCTCCAAGGCGCTAAAAATAAAACTTCAAACATCGCAAAATAAACTGGTCAGACTACTGCTTGACCTTTCATCTAGAACCCACCTCACCTCTGCCCACTTTGACAACCTAGGATGGCTTAGAGTAGACGACAGAGTACAGCTACTTGCAATGGGCCTGGTCTACAAGATCCACTACACCTCTATGGTACCCATGTACATGTCAAAATTCTTCCCAAAGGTCAAGGAATACCATGATCATAACACCAGAGGGAGCTCCACAAATCATGTGAAACCCAGATTTGGCACAAAAAAGGGGGAATACACGTTTCGCAATTATGCCACATCAAGGTGGAACGCTCTTCCCACAACTGTAAAGGAAAGTAAAACTATACTTACCTTCAAAACCTCTCTTAAAGAGCACCTTCGGGGGAGAGCATTGCAAAACTGGCCCCGGTAATGGTACAAATCTCAACCTGTCGTTCAATGGACAGCTTCCCCCCCCCCCCCCCCATCTATGTATATACTCGCATTTTAGACTCTGTTACTAACTGTATATCTGTAGACTTGGTATGTCTTAAATGTCCGGTTAGGATGTATTAGAACGAAATCTAAAATGAAAATTGTAAATAAGCAATCTGTATGTAAAAAAACCACCTGTATGTAAATTGTAAATAAGCCATCTGTATGTCAAATATGTCTTATATGTCTTAAATGATATGATGAATTGGAAATGGGGGACCCTGATGTAAACAAGACGAAAGTCTTTCTCTGGTCTGCATCCCCTTAACAATTGTATGTTTTGAGCTGTACTGTACTGTACCCAATATACAAGCTGTTAATAAACTTTTCAATCAATCAATCAATCAATCAATCAAGTATAACCGGACGTGAGAGAGAGAGATCAGCACCTGTGCAGCTCTGCCCGCTGTGAGGGACCGGTGAGCGGAGCAAAACACACCTTTAGACGTCAACTAACACATTTAGCTATGGCACTGTCGTATACATTGAATTATTGAATTTGATAATATGTAATCAACTTAGGCATCCCTCCCAAAAAAAAAAATAATAATAAAAAAATTAATAACTCATATTCGAATACCTGAATAATTTCGAATATTCGATTAATCGTTCCCATCCCTAGGTAGAAGTAAGATTTGCTTCTTCTAGGATTCTGTTTATCAACTTCCAAAAATGTTAATGCTACTAATGGACGGTATTTCTACAAACCAATGAAAGACGTGTTGATCATTATTGTGTTGCGTTACTTATTAAAAATTCACAAAAAAATACCAGTTTTCACGTTAGTCTGTGTAAAATGCATTTTGGAAATGGCTAGTTTCTAAAAGAAGCTAGCATTATGTTTCCAAATAACAGGTTATTTTTACATAAGTTGAACTTGGTCTTGAAGTCACAGAATTGACAAATACTAAAAGGTTATTATTAAACAGAGATTTGTGCAGTAGCATGGACCAGTATTTTTACTTAGATTTGCCCTGTGTGTTTACACAAATACCATTAGCTGATATAACTGTATTTATTTAACCAAATATAACCAACATTTTACAACAGCAATCTTTCCAAGAAGCCAACAAAGTAATTCGTCTTGTTTCTGCAAATTACGTACTTGCGTACAATAAAATGCAAATGGTATGACGTTAAAACAAATGGTCACGCATCAATAAAGATTTGTAAGTGCGTCATTACAACAGACATGACAGGTTGTAATGTATGGTTGTAATGTGTTGTGGCTTTTGAGTCCATCCTGCAGGTCATGCAAAGAAGGGAATTCAGAGATTCCTCTACGTACTTGAGTAACTAGCCTAGAATGGCCTTGTACATGAAATACACCAGTGCTGCATCCCGCTCATATCAAGAGAGAACTGCCACATCGCATTTATCAATCGCAAAACTGATTGGAGAAGATCCTAACAAAAAAGCACCTCTAAGTACTGAATCTGTATTATTTTTTAATCCATTAGTGAAATACCCAAACATTTACACCTCTAACAGATAGTGTATTAAAGAGACAACGTGCAAAATGCTAATCCAGTTCCTACTTTAGACATCACTATAAATGAGGGATATTTGTTGAGTTGTTTTGTGTTCATGGTCTATGTGCTTTTGACAATCAAAATCAATCTGTCTCTTCACAAACCAGCTGCAGATCAGGTTGGACTGTGCTCCGACCAGCAGTGTTCTCACTGTCAAACAGCTGAGAGCCCGAGTGTTTCTCTCCTCCCTGGGTGTGTCTGGAACTCTCTGTCTTTTCTTTTACTCCCATAAACATCAGGTGCTGTTTGACATGAGCCGTAACGACAGCCATCCCCATTCCTGTCACTCAGCCCTTTCTCTCCCTGCACCCATCATGTATCAGCCCTCACCTGCTCTAATCGCTCTCAGGCCCTTGAAGCAAAAATCGTTAAACAAAGTTCTTCATTTATGTTCATGTTTAACCAGAAATGCAC